ATATATATATAAAATATTCTGGAGGTGTCGAGTCGCTCGGTGTGATTGACTCGCGATTTATAAATCGGATCCAATCCCACGTGCGCCCACATACGCAATTTTTCTCGTTTAAGAAGCCAAAAATCACTTTATCTGGTGATTAAAAGATCTTTGATCATAAGCACCATTCGAATCAGGCATTAGATTCTGTATATCAGTGGAAATAAGTGCACATATCCCAGGCTGAAATATTAGGCTAATAACTTAATAACGGGAAAAAAATGCATATAGAAACCTCATGAGAGGTATATTCTGTCTCGCCTTGAGATGTTGCGTCATCGATTGAATAATGAATATATGTATATTTACTTACTTGGATTTGGAGATGGATGTCCCAAACTGTACATATTTGGAGGAAATCTTGGTGGAAATGGTCTAACTGGTACCATTAAAGTAGGATGTCTGCCTCTTCCCATAGAAGAAATTTGTCCTCTTAATGGAACCATAGGGTTTACTACGATAGGTCTCGGAGGAAAACTCTAGTAGAGATATATATTCACAAGAAAGTCCAACAAAGTTTAGGAACATTCATTAAAAGATGGTCAAGATTATATACATGTATATTACTTACACCATAACAGATAGGTACAGATATTGGCGATTCGATATAACGTGATGCTATATTTCTTCGTTCTCTGGATCTATCTCTAGTTTTAGTTCTGTCTCTATTCCTACCTCTTTCTCTGTTTCTCTCCCTCTCTCTATCTCTTCTTTCATAAGAACGTTCATTTGATTTTTCACGATATCTGTCGCGATAAGATCTCTCTTCAATAAATGGCCTGTAATAATAATAATAATCATAATAATAATAATAAACAAATTATTCACAATCCTATTCAACATTTTTATTCTGTGTTCCCAGATAATATTTATGTTGCATAAGATACCTAAAAGACGTCTTTTAGATGTCTATGTAGTCTAATAGCGTATTCGACTCGAGTGAAGTTTGCACCAATCTAGATTGGATTAATGATGTTATATGCTCTCCTATTGGTGGAATATGTAAAGTCAACCAATAGTAAAACATTATCCAACCCAAATGGAAGCAAATCCGCTTCGATCGAAAACGCTATAAAAGACGTCTTTTAGATATTATGTTCGTTATCTAGGAATTTATTGCCAGTACTGAAAATTTACCTTACGAGCACTACAGATTTTCAATTATTGGTGGCGCAATATCCCAAGGCAGGATAGGATCTATCTTTCATGAAGTTTTCTCAATAGATTTTTTTCTGGAATTAGGTTATTAGCTTAATATCCAACCTCCAGATTGAAGGATTTATACATGTATGCATCATTGATATTATATGGGACATATAGATTAATATTGGATCCGAACAGTATTGGTCAAAGATCAAAGATCTCTTAATAATCAGATAGAATCATTTTCGGCTCCTTAAACGCAAAAAATCGCGTATATGAGCGTAAATGGAATTAAACCCGAATCTACAGATTGCGAGTCAACCGAGCGGCAAGCTACTCGACACCTTGTAGATTTTCAGTACAGCAGTAAATTTTGGAACACAGCCTTTGTCGTACATTTTACAAATCAATTAAGTCTGATAGCACCAAACCATAACAAGTCATAATAGACTAAAAATTAGATTGTTTAACATAATAAAAATATTTATTTATTTAAAATAATAATCTATGTTAATGATTATATTCTATACCTGGAATGTGAGTTTCGTTCTCTAGAACGCGATCGATTATTATCATGCTTATTTGCGCCATCTCTTTCGGTATATTTCTCTTTATATTCTCTGCGTTTCTCTAAATCGCTTCTCCTAAAATAAAGTAACAGAATGTACTTTTCACATAAAACAGTAAAGGAGTATTTATATTGGCCTTAATCATATGATGCATAATCTGTAAGGATTGACTTATCACGATTTAATTTTTTTTTTATTCGATAATAAGAAGGGAGTACTTGGAAATGATTGATTAATTTTTATAAATTACGGCATACGGCATATGATTATAATATAAACGTTCCCTTACTTGTTTTTAATTATATGTAATACTTGTTTGTATGTACCCTTCATTATTTCAAAAATAAACTTTATCTCAATAAATAAATAAATAAATAAATAAAGCTTACTCATCATCTTTACGAGTATCACATTTTTCTGTCTTATCCTGATTCAAATCCAAGTGACTATAATCATAAGAAAATAGATTAAAAAGTGTACATTTAATATAAATAGAATATTTTCATAACATGTAAAACGAACCTGGATTGATAGGAAGATAGATATCCAGAATAGACACGATTCCTAATAGGACTCAAGGATAAGGAATGTGACTTGATTGTCGAGGCTGTATAATATTATAGTATTAAAATATGTATATTTTTTTAAATACCATATTTTGTAATATTTATTATTGAACCTCAAAAATCAGGAAACTAAACAATTATAACTTTCACAATTATAGAAAAATAACATAACCATGTGATATATTTATCTTCAAACACACGATCTAATTATTATCTAATTCGACAATTATAATTATAAATATAGCTTCCCATTTAAGAAGTATTATAGTCTCGATATTTTCATTTTATTTTTAGCCAAAAGATATGTAAATTT